TACACACATCACCTTATACTTTTTACTGTTACTGATAGTTTCTCCTTATCAGATATCTCATAATTCTTCAACGTGCTACTGGCCGATATTCGCAATTCTATGTCATGCAGTTATATCCCTTCCATACTTCGACTTTACTATAATCTTACCTGATTTTTTTCTTGTCTACTATTTTTATGTGCCTTATACATTCACGTCTATACAAAACCACGGGCGGGATCTACAATAATAATACATATCAACGATAGTCCATCTTACTCATCTATAAAATCGACACAGTTTCTTCCGTCTACAATATCTTCTACCAGATGCACACGCCTTACGTCCATGAATCAATATCTATTAGCCTCCTCTCCCTATAAACTCCTAAAATATGATATAATGCCCTCGTAAAAACTTTTGGCAACATCCAGGTGTTCACTAACTTCATTTATATTCATTGACTTACACGAGACATTTAAATCTCCCGAGTTATAACTTTCCTCTTCAAACGTACAAGAAACATGCCTCATATTTTCTCCGGTGATATTTGGTCAGTACACTTTTTTCTTTATTTTCAAATTGTTACGAAGATCATATATTTGTTTCTTTTTTGGTGTTTCTTTCGTATGCATTGTATATAATGCATTCAGAAGAACTTATTTTTTTTTTTTATAAAGACTAATAACATGAATCTCTCTCTGACACACACGAACGCGTACGCACACGCACATATATATATGTACTTATATAGACCTTGCACACACGCACAGGCACTCGAAATTTCACAATAAAACGAGACGAACACGTGAATCATCCGTAAATCGAGTAAAATAAAAATGAGGTATTAATAATAACACAGAACATGTACATGGCCAAATTCAAATGAATGCAATAATAAGGTTCGATTGCTTATATGAAACTCATAGAACGCACTGAAATTTATTATTTTCTAGTTTACAGTTGATTAAACAAACAATTATATGTAAGTTACAGTTAACAATTATGACTACGATTTTGATGTTTAGGCGTAGGAAAAGGTGAGGCAGGGACCGCCCCCCACTCTAGAATGTCCCCTCCCCATTCCTCAACTTTCGAGGACATTTCCTGTAAATGAACAAACAGTGCAGTTCCTTAGTTACCCAGTTGATAAGAACATTGGCCCCCTGCAACGTGTTCAAAATGAAATAACCATTATGTCAAGTATTATCAAAATAAAAGTCCCTATTTTAGTGCAGAAATTATTGAGTTTATCTCTATAAAACTGCAAAAATCCTGGAGCTCCTGGGGGCATTCGCCCCCTGGTCCTCCACTGGGACGCTGCCCCTGGACCCCGCCAGGGGCCAGCAGCCCCTAGGAATATCATGGCCGGAGCTCCTGGGGCATACTGGGACGCTGCCCTTAGCAGCCCCTAGGACCCCCGGCTATTTTGGGGGGAACCTACTTTGCCCCCCCTTCATTTTGAGATACCTTCCTACGCCTATGTGATGGTGATATATATGATATTTTGAAGTATGGAATATACTGTAAGTACAATATATTCTACGTCTAAAGAATTATCCTGTTATATTCAAGTAAGTGATCAAAGTTCTGATTGTGGATATTAGATTTGAAATATACATTTTCTCCACATATAATCTTTATACTGTCTAAAAAGTGTTGTGTTTATCATCCACAGGAAGAACTTAAACATGCAAATATACATATATCTATATATATTATACCCATACAATGTAGTTTGCCTGGTAATATGATGTCTACTCATTAGTATCAACAAAATTATCTATATTCATTGTCTTTGGCAATAATCTACTCTACTCCAACCCAATTTACAAAGTGCTTTGATTCCAAAAGATATTAGTTCCTTACAATTCATATGGCAAAAGCAATTGAGTGATATTAGTAATTAAAAATGTGACTGATGAACTTCTACATTTTTTAAGCACCCTATTACTTAGCTTTGCTATTTTTCTGTGTAGCTGTGTAAATTACAGGGAAATGCTAAGAGAAAATTTACATGGCATATTCTCATCATTCACAGGAAAATTAGCTCTTTACATTATGGGGGGATTTTAAAACTTTACTCTTCAAATTTATGTCACTAGATACCATATGATGCTTTTTCAAATGATTTATCACATGAATTTTTTGGACAGCTCGAAAAGTACACTGATCACACGCAAAAGGTTTTTCACCAGTGTGCAATCGAATATGTGTCTTGAGATTTGTTTTCTGAGCAGATCTAAATGGACAATATGGACAGCCATATGGTTTCTCGCCAGTGTGTGATCTGATGTGATGTTTCATTGCCGTAAGTTTACGAGTAGAGTGTGGACAATGAGGGCACTTGTAGGTGTTGGTGTCCTTGATGATAGGTGCCATTCCTGGAGCTCCTGTCCTGGACATCAACTCGTTGCCACTGAACACCACCTGTAGAGGATATCCAGCCTTACTTAAAATTGTAAAGGCAGGTTAAGTAATTCACAAAAGAGTTTAACAACTAAACATGAAGCAACCATACTCTTCCTAAATGGTTAGTCTGATCCTGTTTTATTAGATGTAAATACATGTGTTAGTATGTAGAAATGTGTTCCAAAAATTGAAATATGCAGAAATTCATTATATATTTGGTAACTTCAATAATATGTGAAACAGACTGTAATTCCTGCATTATTATTAAATTTGTACATACTAAATTTACAAAGAAGTAATGAATAATACATTATGTTCACTGTCTTAAACTAAATCAACATATTATGAATCATCAGGCTATGTCTAGTGTAAATCACGCTCTACTTATAAACAAGCTTTCTATGCATATTAGTTTCATAACTGTATGTATCATGTGCAGTTTCAAATTTGGTTGATCAATCTTGTTTTACACTCAGGTGTTCTCATTTCTCGTTTAGCTATATTTCAGTTAAATGACTTAACAGATGCCTATGAATGCACACCCATGGGCATGCACCCCCCACTCGACACACACCTATACTTTGTATAAGTATGTAAAGCCTAGAAATAACAGTTTGTAGATGCAGTCTTTCAAAATATGCTTTTCTTTTCTTTTAACTCTTCACCCATCTGCCTACTTTCTTTAAAGAAGTACACCATACACAGATTAGCAAAATGCAATTGCAGGAGATGAAGAAAATTATCTTACTTCCAGAGATTTGTCTAGCACATAATGTATAGTATATAGTGATTTACAATTCATCTAGAAAGATAAGGGCAATCAAAATAATATATACAATAAATCTGAAACATTTTATTTTATTCCACAGTGGTGTATATGAAAGTAGATGTTCTTATTGATAGCATTTAATAAAGTATAATTAATAGTAACATAAACTAGTACAAATATGGTAAACAATAAAATGCTGTTCCTAGGAACTTAAAAGATCATATAACTTGATTTACATTTATGTTTTTTTTTTACAACGTTAGGAATGTAAATATGAATGCACTGACTAGAAAAAAAATATATTAACAAAATTAATCACTTGATAAAAAGTGATTGTGATTGGATTTAAAAAAATATATACTTGTACTGTAATTAAACTGTCTAATTCCAAGGAAAAAGACCTTCACATGTTTCAAAATCATATATATTTTTAAGTGTGTTGACACTGAAGGAGAATACAAATTAAAAAAATATATGATAATTTTTAATTACTGTACAGTGATTTTTGGTTCTTACTTGGAGTCATAACAATTTCATCAGTCTATAAATCATCCCCTAATAAGTCTTTACATTTTATTAAAAAGAAAAAAAAAATAATAACAATGTCACATATGTACATGGCTTATGCCTTATTTATATTCAAATAATAAAATTCCTAAATACTGGTAGTCTACATTTCAATATACATATGAATGCAAGAAAAGAAATAATTACAACAGCAGAACTATCTCTTTTTCATAGATCTGTTTATTCATTATCTACTTCATTAATTCTTATTAAAAAGAAATTTCACTAATTCTTATTAAAAGGAAGTTTCTTTGCAAAATATATAAAACAGAAAAATATCACTGACTGTAACTTCCTACTTCATTCCCGCTGTTGTAATGACTTCTCATATGCGAAGAAAGGTGAACTTTCTGAATAGCTCGATAGGGGCAATATGGGCATGCAAATGGTTTTTCACCAGTGTGGGTGAGAAGATGTCTCTTTAAATTATCTTTTATTGTTGTCTGGTAACTACAATGAGAACATGAGAATGGTTTCTCTCCGGTATGAATTCTCGCATGTCTTATAAGATTAGACTTGACTATAGTAGAGTAGGCACAGAAGGAGCAGTGGTGCATCTTGCTAGTCATGGTGTAGGTCCTGTCAACCTCCTGAGGTCCTCTCCGTCCTGGCCCTGGATATCCACCCATCTCCGGTTCTACCTGTTGAGGACGCCCATCTTATAGTCTTGCAATCAACTCAATACTTTGCTGATTCAGGAGAAGTATTTCTAAAGATACCAGTGTTTTCTACAGTGAGGTATATCATATTTGATGCTACTATATTTGTATAGAAGCAATCATACTATTATTGAAACTATACAAAACATTTCTCCAGAAAATTAAATTACATGCAGCTTTAAAAAATTTTCTTTTATGCCATATCATATACTTTCATAGTATTTTGATATCTTTCAAAAGGGAAGTTTTCAGTATAATTTGAATCACAGTTTATTATACAATATTCAAAAATTTAAAGTTAAAAATTCTTATCCAGTTTAACATCACAAGAAAAAAGCTATGTCTCTCTTTTTTTCTTTCTTTTCTCTTCGTTTTCAGTAAAGACATATGAAACAATATTTGTTGATAATGATGACTTTTTCTTACACAAGTATTTTTCTTTTACTGTTTCTCCAGTAGAAAACACATCCGCAGGATTTTACATAAAAATAAGTGTGTGTATGTGGGGGGGGGGGGCCTGTATGCATGTGTGTTGTGTGTATATATGTATGTGTATATCTATATATGCCTGTGCATGGATGTGGATATGGATGCAGTTGTGGATTATAAGCTAC